AAAATTTTAATTTTACTAATTAATTTAATTAATAGATCATAATAATTAGTAAATAAACAAAAAAAAAAACAAAATAATATATATATATATATATATATATATATGTTCATCATTAAAGCGCTTCTTCTATCAATTTTTGAGATGTCAAAACAATAAGATATTTTCCATATAGAGAATATTTATCAAATTCTTTCATTGTTGAATGTGCTTCTTCATATGTTTTGAAATAAACATGGCAATATAATATTCTAGTGTTTGGTGTTGTCATCATAAGTGACACTGATATTGGATTATATTTTTCAAAAAGATGTAATATATAATGTATACTTATATTTGGATGTATATTAGCTACAATTACTTCTTGTGCCTGAATAACCTTTGATGATAAAGGAACTTTAATATTGTGTGATTTATATTTTTTATCAATAGATACCAATGATGGAATTTCTATTTCATTAAATATTTCTCTATTCAAATTTTCATTAGTAACTTCTGATGAAATTGAAGTACTTGATGCAGTTCTTCGTAAATTTTTAAGTTTTAAAAAGTGCCTCAAGGATGATATCGATGTAGATTTTTTATTTTCTTCAGTTTTTATATCATCATTAAAATTATCTTTTACAGATATTGATTCTGATATATTAGAATCAGACTGATTGCATTTTTCTTGAATCTTCTTTGCACACAAATCATTGCTATTGATGATATTGTTATCTGAATTATTTACAATAGAATTTTGTTTAAATACTTTCTTATTTTCATTGCATGGTTTTCTTTTTACATTAACAAATTTTTTAGTTATGTGTGGTAAAATTTTAATAAATTTATGATTCTTAAAAGCTTCGATACATTGTTTTGCATCTTCAGCCGTTTCTAATTTTACAAAACATAATCCATTAGGTTGTCCACGGTCATCTGCGGATAAAACTTTACCAAACGAGGAAAATATAGTATTAACCTCTTTCATAGTTAATCCTTTGTTATTAGGAAAATGTATAACATAACTTCCATCTCTTCTCCGATCGTAATATTTTTCATAATCCATTCTTATTTTTAAAATATATATATACAAAAATAATAAGCAATGATTTAAAGTATAAAGTAATTTGAATACAATAATATTTTTTCTATACGTATATGGCACACACTATTTAAACTTATATATTAAAAAATACTGTATTAATTCTTATATATTAATCTCAAAATATGTAATATTACGTAAATATATTATAATATATATAAAGCACAATTGTATTATTTGCGCACGTTTTAAAATTCGAATCAATTTGTATAAAATTTATAAATTTTGAGAATAAGACCGAACATAGAATAATACATTCTACATAGAAACGTATATGGATGTATATTTTTTAACCGTTAATTTATAATTTGCACATATTCAAATATGAAGTATTTATCAAAGAGTAATAAAAAAAAATATTTTTTGAATTTCAATAGTAATGTTAAAATATATAAATGTAAATGTGATTAAATATTATATTTTAATATTCGTGTCTTCCCGCCTTATAAAAATGGCCGACTACGTAGCCATATTTTTACAATAGACTTGCGCATTCTCGTCTTCATAATTTACATTTCCAAGTACGAAGTTCCTTCATTTTATTTGTACGGTATTCAATAAGACAAAAGTTCGATCAAATTTTTTGGTTTTGTTTAATTTTTTTTATAAAATTGTACGTAGTAATATCGTAAATGTTCATGATTAAATATTAGTGGTGATGAAAAAAAAGAAGTTGAAGTAATGGGCGGAGTTTGCGCCTGTTAGAATACGAGGTAAAAAACATTGTTTTACGAAAACATATATTTTTGATATAACGAATAATATTCCAAAGGATCAGTTTCAAAGTATTTTTATGAAGCTTTGTAAAAATTTGAAGTTCACGGAAGTACAGGTTAAGCGAACAGGATTAGGAAAAGCGGTGAAATCGCATCATAAATAAAATGGATGCGCACGCGGATAATAATACACGAGAGCAAGTGAGGAAAAGGTTTTAGATAGAAAAAGAAGGAAATGAAACAGCCGTTCTGATTGGCTGAGGCGGCTATTATGGCCGCCGATTGGCGCACGCATGTACGCACACCAAGCTTTGATGTATACACGAACGCACGAACACGTGCGTGTATCAGGAGCGTAGCAGTCGCTCGCGGCCGAGAAGAGTGAAAAGAGCGACAGAAACGGTCGGTCCGCGCGTTGCCTTGTAAGGCGGAGAGTTGGTGTGTGACGTCCGTGCGCGGATGGCTCGAAGAACGCCGATTTTCCTCAGCTTATACAAGTATCCTTGCTGAGCAGAGGAAAGAACAAGTGAAAGGAGAGTGCGGGCCGGGCGCGACGCCGACCATCGACATAACCACGTATACGTAAAATCCGACAATCCGTCAAGTTTAAAGCTGCCGAAGGCACCATTTTCATCATCTCTATAGTGTGTATAGCAAACTAGAAACTGATTATTAGACGTAACGTGAGTGTTCTTGAGCAAGGAAGGAAATATATAATAGTGAGAAAGGTAATGAACAAAAGGCAAGCAGGAATAAAAAGGATAACGAAGGGCATCGAGAGAGATAGAAACAGCAAGAAAAGAGCAAAAAGAAAAAGCGAAAGAATGAACAAGCGAATAAGCAAGCGAGAGAAAGAGAGGGAGCGAGGCCGGGAAAGAGGAGCAAGAGCAAGTTAAAACGCCAAACGATACGTAAGAGACAAAGGCCACGGCGGCATAACCTCCAAGTCAAGCGTACGGCGTATTACAGGGATTTCTTATTCTTATGAATTGCTTCGTTTTTTCAAGGAATTTGATACATTATTCGTGTAAAATGATATTTTTGCAAGTGCATTATTATCTGCTCTGGCTTCCATATGAAATGTCGCACGAGTAAGAGAGAGAGAGAGAGAGAGAGATAAAGCACGTGCGTGAAACATATTTTCCTCGAGATACAGGAATCATCATTGTGGCGCTGGCAACGTGAGCGGAGGAAGGTCGGAAAAGAAAAAAAGAAGGAAGAGAGCGTTTCATTCTGGGCCTATTAGTAAACCGTCAGGCGTTCTAGTAGGCCCGTGATTTAGACATTGCTATTAGAATTAAATTAACGTTCTATATATAAGAATGGATGAATTCGCGAGAAAATGTTTGGCGTAACGTTCTTTTAGTGGCGAGAACAGAAAAGATTGTTATAATACTCTTTTGCTGTAATGGATATCCGGTTTCGGCATCTAATTCTTTCTTCCATCGCTATGGCCTTTGTCTCTTACGTATCATTTTAACTTGTTCTTGCTCCCGGTCTTTTTCCTTCTTTTTTTCTCTTATTCGTTCGCTCGTTCATTCTTTTGCTTTTTCTTCTTCCCTCTTTTCTGTTTATTTTATTTTCGATGCCCTTAGTTATTTTTTTTATCATGATCAAGTTTTTATCAATCATAAAGTGAAAACGGGATGTTTGTTTGTACAGTCGTGTTTTTCCGCATCATCTGGTATACGATATACATCCGCGAGTGTTGTGTGAACAAATTCACTCTTGCGACGGAAAGAAAAAAAAAGGAAACGGCGACGAATAATATTCTTAGTGCTGTAGTCTACAGTTGATGGATGAAACCAGCAGAATGCTGCAACACGGAGGATCAGGTGTGGGTCTGATGGGAGGAAATCAGGGTCAGGGGGCCCAAAATACTGCCGGATATGGTAGTATGGGACCTGTGGATGGAACTGCAACACAAGGTCCGGATCAGGCTGTTGAGGCTAGAAAACAGGACATCAGTGAAATTTTGCAACAAATTATGAACATCACCGATCAAAGCTTGGACGAGGCACAAGCAAGGTTAGTCCCATTCCTGATTCAGCCGCCATTTTTTTTTTAAATATTTTAAATTTTATCGTTACTTTTATAATTATTTTATATCATTTTTTATTTTTTTTAAAATATTTTCTTATTATATTGAAATATCAATCTCATGGGAATAGGTTTGAGTTTTTTTTTCTTAAAATATTTGCTAAATGTAAAAAATAACGAGTATAGGTTATGTTCGTTATTTTGAATCTTATACGACGATTTTAAAACATTATTTTTATAATGTTCCATTTTATCATTTTATAACTTGATAAACTATTAAATGACGAATATATGTATTCTAGTAATGACAAATTGTATATAGACTTCCAAATACGCGATAAGAGTTTATCTTCACACTATTAGTATACGATTAAGTTACAATACAAGTTTGCTAAAACGTCATAGTATTTTAAAATCCATTTCGCTATAATAGATATCGTACAATCTAATAAACTTTTAATCGAATATCATTCATCATTATCATTATTATTACTATTATCTTTTCTCTCTTTTTTTCCAGAAAACATACTTTAAACTGTCACAGAATGAAGCCCGCCCTGTTTTCAGTTTTGTGCGAAATCAAAGAGAAAACAGGTGAGTCTCTATTTTTCACTATTATACCTTCTTCTTCAATTTGTGTCTTTACACAAGGACACAAATATTAATACTTATCGATATTTATATTTGTAGAATAATTAAGATAAGTATTGATTTATTGATATACGGTAAATAATCGCGACTCAAGACAAAGTTGCTTTTATTATTGCCTTTTATTATTCGTGACTTTCATTTTAATGTGATCCACAATAATCTAGTTTTATATTAGCAATTACCATCTATCTAAAATCACTGTAAATAATTGCCGATTAAATAGATACCATCACAAGATAAAAGAACACTTCATAAAAGTAGAGGGACGATCACCTCGTAACTCCCGCGCCCATTCCGATGCCTCGCATGTGAGAGTTCTAAACAATCCGAGAAATTCCTAGAAAGAGATCCCTATCTAGACGAGAGGAGAGAGAGAGAGAGAGAGAGAGAGAGAGAGAGAGAGAGAGAGAGAGAGAGAGAGAGAGAGAGAGAGTAGTAGTAGTGTGTGTGTGTGTGTGT